CAGGGACAACAGCTCAGGTTGGGATTTTTTTTTTTAATGTATATTAAAAAAACCACTGAAGTTCATTCCTCTACTGCGCTTCCACATCATTCTGCTACGAGTTCACTCATTAAAAAAAACAAACAACCCAACTGTTAGGGACTACATGGTTCCAAAAATACTTTCTATCTGCTTTGTCAAGATCTCTTTAAGCTCTCTGTAAGTATCTCTAATCTTCCATCAGGAGATCAGAAATATCAAGGCTGTACAAATCCATACCAAGTGCCAAGGCAGGCTGGCCACATATTTAATAACATAAAAATAAGATCCCTTGATAAAATACTGACCAGTCACATAGAGATTATTTTTTTCTAAATTAACAGTAGTAAAAAAAAAAGCCCCATTTCAATCAGATCTCACTATAAACTAACCCTTTTACAAGATGCAGATTTTTGGGAAGCATTTTATTTGGCAGTTATGTCATTTTTAGATAAATAATAGTTTCTGGCCAAGTTGAATACAGGAAATATCACACAGAGAAAAAAAAAAAGGAGGCCTAGTTTCACTCTCTGCTCTTCTCATCCACCAAGGATGAATATCCTTGAAAGCTACAGCAGAAACACCAAGCTTAGACTAAGGTTGAGGAATGTAAACAGAGATACCTTTATAGAAAAATAATTCCAGAAGAGGGAATTCCAGAGAGCCCTGTCAGCAAGTTTGCTGACAACACAAAACTGGGAGGAGTGGTTGACCACACCAGAAGGCTGTGCTGCCATTCAGACAGACCTAGACAGGCTAGAGGGCTGGGCAGGGAGGAATCTTATAAAATTCAACAACAGCAAGTGTAGAATTTTGCACCTGGGAAAGAACAACCCCATGTGCCAGTATAGGTTGGGGACTGACCTGCTGGAGAGCAGCGCAGGGGAAAGGGACCTGGGGGTCCTGGTGGCCAGCAGGATGACCAAGAGCCAGCAATGTGCCCTCGTGGCCAAGAAGGCCAATGGCATCCTGGGGTGGATTAGAAGGGGAGTAGCTAGTAGGTCAAGAGATGTCCTCCTGCCCCTCTGCTCTGCCCTCGTGAGGCCACATCTGGAATATTGTATCCAGTTCTGGGCGCCTCAGCTCAAGAGAGACGGGGAACTGCTTGAGAGAGTCCAGCGCAGAGCCACAGAGACAATGAAGGGAGTGGAACATCTCCCTTAGGAGGAAAGGCTGAAGGAGCTGGGTCTCTTTAGCTTGGAGAAGAGGAGACTGAGGGGTGACCTTATAAATGTTTATAAATATGTCAAGGGGGAGTGTCAGGACGGAGCCAGGCTCTTTTCAGTCACGTCCAATGACAGGACAAGGGGCAATGGCTGCAAGCTGGAACATAGGAGGTTCCACAAAAATATTAGAAAAAACTTTTTCACCATGAGGGTGACAGAGCACTGGCACAGGCTGCCCAGGGAGGTTGTGGAGTCTCCTTCTCTGGAGACATTCAAAACCTGTCTGGACGCATTCGTGCGTGATCTACTGTAGGTGATTGTGCTCTGGCAGGGGGGCTGAACTAGATGATCTTTTGAGGTCCCTTCCAGCCCCTAACATTCTGTGATTCTGTGAGATGAGATGCAGTGTAAAAATAACATCAGGTGCCTCCACTGAATGAAATATAACTAGGCACAAACCTGACTAAAGTCCGTTTTTTTGTCTCCTTTGCTCGTACTTTCTTCATGAGATGTTCCAATTTCTCTGACGCCTCAGGTTGGATCCCAAGGTCCTCATCGTCTGCTGTGTTTATGATATCCCTGTAGAACAAAGAGATATCGAACCCTCCAGGCTTCTTCAAGTGCATCAAGTCCAGGATGATACCTAGAAACAAAGGAAGAGATAGGAGGAGGATCACAGAAACTGGCTTTTTACTTACACTAGCACATTTCTCAGCATTCTCAGATTTCTATACCTACACCATGAATTTAAGCAAGAATAACCTCTAAATTGTCATCTGAACCAGATGTGAGAGTTTCTAGGGAAAAAAAACTTCAAGCAAAACAACGTAGCATAGAAAATGTTTCCTTCCTCATTAATAATCTGGACAACATTTTGCATGAAAGAGCTCCAACAAGCTCCTGTAAAACATACTCTTACTTTAGGCATGGAGGGAACTAATGCATTCAGATGTTCCCCTTTCCCAGTTACAAGGGCTAAAGTCTCAAAGCTTCTAGATCCAGCACATTTGCTGAACTCCAAAAACACCAGTTTCTCTCAGCCCGATTGTTGAACCAATGAAGCATTGGCTCTCTAGTCTCTGAGCTCAGGTTGCTGTTCTTCAGCTGATTCTAAATGAAGCCATTAAAGTGATTTTCCTTTTGTGTTAATTTAGTGTTATTATTCCCTTCCTGGAAAATGGTGGAAAAACAAAATAAAGCAGAGTTCGTTTTTCACTCTCAGGCCCTCTCAAGTTCTGATTTTTATGCTATCAGAGTAGAAAAAGAGATCGTAGAAAATAAGCATTTGTTGTTGGAAACTGGGTAAGATAATACATTCTTTAATTTAGACTAGATACCAAATTTCTGATTTAGAAAGCTTCATAAAGATTTGCCTAGTTCTGACAATTTTGCATTCTTTTTCCATCACAAACTTGCAATGCAGTTAACATCTGCTACAAGGACATATCAGTTTTATTCTGAAATTAAAAGGGAAAATAATGACCTGTGTCTCTCAGATCACCAGCCCTGGTCCTGGCCAGCTTGGCTTTAGCACTGTCATTGCCATGGGGGTCATCCTCGTTGGTGAAGAGCATGATCCTCTTGTGGCTCAGTCTGACCCGAACATCACTGAAGAGGTTAGAGCAGGCCCAGAGCGCTTCACCCAGCGAATAGTCAGCGTTGTGACCGAAGGTGTTGCGGAAAAGCACTCGTCCCTCGTCTCCCCTGTATTGGTCCAGCTCTAGAACACGCTTTGCACCTAAGGAGGATAACAGCATTCATGTGCATAAGAAATATTTGAAGGAGTACTGCAAACTTTTCAAAATATTCACGAAGGGTCCCTTGCACCTGACATCTGAGTAACATCTGGTGGTGCCCTTCCAACACCTGGCTGAGAAAACTGTTCACCACAGCCTGAAATTTGCACTATTGGAAGCCACTTGAAAGCACCTACTAGGGCCAAAAGGACACCAAGTGCCCCAGCACCAAGGTTGGGCTCTTCCTGTTAGGGGAGGGAAACAGGCAACGAGCAAAATATCGCAAATCCACCGTACTGAAAGGACGAGTGTTCAAAAAAAACCTGCTGCAGAGGCACAGCAGACTGCTGCACCAGCGGAGAGAGGAGAGGTGCCTGAAATGCCTCCTGCATCTCCATGGCATGTTGGGAAGGTAGAGAATTCCTCCTGCTCCCTTGGGCCTCATGTCAGATAGGATCAACCTAGAGGTCAGATGCAGCCCACAGATGACCAGGTGGAGACAGCAATATTCAAATGTGTGTCAATGGCCTCTGGATTATTCCAGCCCAACTACTACTCTCCTCCCTACTTGTCTAAACAACAGATTCTCTGTTTCCTCCTGTAACTCTACAAAGGGAGGCAAGCTTTCACTTTTAAGCTGCTGCATTCTGTAAAGCTTCTTCCTTTGTCCCTCACTCAAATTCTACGGCATTTATGAAACCTCATCTGAAAATGTCCTTCCCTCTGCCATTTACTATTTTATTTTCATCTCCTCACCTGTCAATTGATAGCATAAGTGTCCATAATTATGTACTACACAATAGCTATCTATAGTATTTCTTCCTTATCTAGGGGCAGTAAATATACAATTCTCTTCCTTTTTAACAACACTCGCCTTTCACCTGCACTATCTTTATCAGCATGGCAAAGCCACTATCTCTAACACAGGGAAAAGGGCAAGAAGGAAGGAGGAGGAAGGAGGAAGAAGTAAGAGCAAGAAGCCTAAGGCACTTGCGGCCAGAAAAGGGAGACAAACTGAAGGCAGTCTTATCAGGTCCCCATTGTAATTAATTGTGAAATTAGGGCAAGGCACAGTTCTTTCGGGAGGACTCCATGCGTTATTAAACCTGCAGCTCCTAGTTAAGAAAATTAAAACAAACCTCCTCAGAGATAAAGGCTGCTACTAAAAGCTAGTGGACAAAATCCCCCCACAAGACTCTGTTTCATGACAATCTGTCCACTATCATGTATTCTTTGCACTCCTTCTACTACCTTTTCTAGTTCAGCAACTGGCACTCATTATCAAGCAGATGCTAGGTAATTCTAAGAAATTCAAATAAAACAGAAGAGGTGAACTGCAAAACCGCTTATGAAAATAAGAGATGGAACACCCTAAACAGGTACATATGGGCTAATCTTTTCTAACTGACTCTGCCTGAGCAGGAGGGTTGGACAAGATGAGCTCTGGAAATCCCACCCAACCTCAGCCATTCTTTTCTGAAGAGCAGCCACATGATTGTGGTCTCGTAAGTTTAGTAGAGAGAGAGCAAGTGAACCAGTGCATTAAAACAGAAGACAAGACACAGGAAAGGGATCTGGACCAACTATATCAGGAATAGCTAAGTTCCCACTAAGTTTGTAAGCTTTCAATAAATGTTAAGTCTATCCCGCCCCACTAATACATGTCAATAATAGGAACTTTTCAGTTCTGAGAGGTCTCTGTTTACTGATAATTCTACTGCACAGATCTCCTTGCTCCATTTTCTACATAACATTCATATCACCTTACTGCCTTTACCTGGATTGTCCAGCTCCTGAAGAACATAGATGTGCTTGAAATCTGCTGAGTTCTTGTTATTTTCTGTACCATAGAACACGATGCTTAACAGGTCCCTGTCACTACTAATAATTTTGCTGGTATACACTGTCCGGATGCACTGAGAAAAAATGCATACAGGTCAAAATATGAAGAAAATCAGTTGCAGCAAAAGTGCAAAAGTCTTCTCTTTCGCAATTGGCAGCTTATAGAAGTAGATTCTAACAAGAAGAAGAAGGGTAACAAACGCTTTAAGCAAAATTTTACTAGAAGAATCGGGGTTCTTGTTTTCTGGGGGATTTTTTTCAGCATACAGCCTTAGAAAATTTTCAATTAGTATTCCCTTTCTACGAGTAAGGCCAATGCAACAACCGTTTTTCAAAAGCACCATCCCGAACGCAAACTGATTTCTCATTCTATAAACTTTTCCCTCGCCGAAACCCTGGACAGAGTCCACAGGGCAACAAGTCTTCCCAAACCCACAGCCATTCACCAGTCCAAGTTGCTTTTGGAGTGACCTTACAACAACAAATGAGGTGGAGGGACAGCCCCCTGGCCCTACCCATGGGGGCGGCCAAAGCAGTTCCCGGAGGGTTTGGGAAGCGCCCCGAGGCAGCCTTACCTGGAGGGTCATGTCAAAAGGAGTCATTTCATCCCCGTTGGACTCAAACATGGCCTTGGAGGCATCGACTAAGAAAATAAGGCTGTCCCGACCGGAGAACCTGTAGTCCGCTACGAAACGGGGAGGGGAAACGGTT